TAAGTATCTGAGGTGGTGGCTATAAGTAAGTCTCAGGATACATGCCTTATCTTTAACGAGGGCAGTAGGCGTTTTCGGTTTAAGATTGGCTCCTTCTACTTACCCAGACCCGCGGGAGGATCCAAAAAGTAGGTCCCTCCTTACTAATGGGGGTTCCTATAAAGTACCCTTGGGCGGGCTCCAAATTTAGGGGATCTACTTTCTAGATCCTCGGGGGTCTGGGCAGGAGCCGACAGCGGTAACCCTAAGCCCTTAAACCCTAAACACTAGAGCCTAAACCCTAAACCCCTAAACCCTAAACCGGCGGTTCGACACCCTTATATCCCGCAACGTGCAAGAATCAACTCCTGCCCGAGCGGTCTGCTAAGGCCATGGGAATCTTTACTAAACCCCTACCTTAACCTACCAAGACCTACTTTTTTGTTTGTAGGGTCCCTATATTTTCCGTATTAGGGTTTATAAAAAGGACCTACAAAACTAAGGTAAACCCAGAGACTCCAATATCCCTTAATTCAGGCGTATACCTTAAATTATAGTCGGATCCTTTCTACGACTTCTGGAATATTCCGTAATTAAGGGATATTGGAGTCTCTGGGAAGCCCTTAGGCCAAAGATCCCCTAAAGCCCGAAACCCTTGCAACCTTAAACGCCAACACCCAGAAACCCAGGCAGCCATGGTGGATCCCTAGCCCAGAGGGTCCAAGTACCCAAATAGTAGGGTTTTAGGGCCCAAAATCCATACTCTGAATGGTTTTGGACCTTGAAACCCTGGTATTTGGGTACTTGGACCCTTAGGGTAGTGTAATTCGCATTTTTCACCAGAAGCATGCTCTGGATGTGCCCGGGACACAGCATCCACTGTCAACTCCCACGGTCTCCAACTTCTTGTATCGCGACACCACACTGCCACACGTATTTTGGGGTGGTATTTGTAATCCCGCCACAATTCCACTAAGATTCTGGCTCGAACTTTTGAAAGTTCTGGCAGGGACATCCCATGCCTCTTGGTCTCTTGCGTTTGGTCGTGTACTGCCCGGTTGCATGGGTTTTGAGGTTTTGGTCTACTCTGCGGACTTTCATTGTCCGGGGTTGAAGTTGGCATACTTGCAGGAGCCCTGTGCATTGGACATCAAGCTGTACAAGAAGTAGACTTTGGTACCATCACTTCGCGATTTTATGGTATTTGAACCCGAAACTCTTAAGGCTGTGAGCCGTATTGCTCTGGAAACCCCCTACTTGGAGGCCCTTTTGACTTAGTAAGTCTACTTAGTATCCCCTAGAAACCCTATTAGAAACCCCATAACCCACCTTACCAACCCTACTTACTAAGTCAAAAGGGCCTCCAAGTAAACCCCAGACCCTAAAAGCTAGACCCTGAACCCCAAGCCCCTCAACCCTACGAGCCGTAAGCCTAAGTTCGCTGCGTCTCCCCTGCGAGGCTACGGAAAGCAGCCCCTCAGCGCGGGACTCAAGCTGCGGGCCGGACGATGTCGAAGCAATAGAGGGGCCTGATAAGTACGCTATACTAAAAGATACTATGATACTACAAGATACCACAAGATACTGTAAGATACTATGAGATACTATACCATAAGATACTACAGTACAGGAGACTATGCTACACTATTAAAGAGATCTTGGAAGCTCTGATCTCGCTGCACGGTAGTGCTACAATTGTGGTGACCCCTGGACCCTACCGGTTTAGGGTTTAGGGTTTCTACCTGTAGCCGAAAAGACCTACTTTTTTCGTGGTTTCCATACACGGTTCCTTAAAAAAGGTAGGTCTTTCGGGCCAAAGCTAAACCGTGAACCCTAGGTGTAATTGAGAAGACCGTTTCTATTTATTTACTTACAAAGGTAGGTCTGTTGGGCCAAAGGTCTAAACCCTGAACCCTGTTGTGGTCATGGGTCATGACTGTCCATCATGCCCCGCTCCTTCCCGGCATCGATCAGCTGCACCCTGGCTGCCCTCAATTGTCGAAATCCGGTATATTCCTTGCTTTAGTAGCAGAGTGGATACACTTTACATTTTTTCGGGATAATACTACCCACTGTAAAACTGAAAGTGTACACTTTTGGGGGCTTATGAACTCAGCAACTAGGTTGTTGTGGACAATATAGGTAGCAGCCTTACCAGCACTATGACAGGTAATCTCAGTTCAGACGCTGCGGGGGTCAACTTATGGGCTGCAGGGCTTTTAGTTTTAGTGCTCAGGGTGTGGATGTCAGCATAGTGCAGGGTTGGGGCTCTTAGCAGGGCTTGCTAGGGCTGCTTGTTCACGACTCAGGTCTGGGCAATAGAACTAGCAGCAAAGATCATTTTCATACTATTATTCATGTTTTGTGTCGGCAAGATCTATGAGCCGAAAGCAAGACAACAAGAACCTTAAACATAAAAGCCCTGCTTACCGCATCCGTCGTCGGCGTGCCTCCCGAGCCTAGGCGCACTTGCGCAGACCATTTTTGCCCTTTTTATTGTACTGTGCCCTTATTAAAACTGAATATGACAGAAGAAGGGGTGCCCTTATTGTTAGGGGGTCACTCAGGAAGCTAGGCGTGCAGTGTCGGCTTTGTAAGTCAGGAAGGTGGTTTTCTTGTTGACCAAACCGCAGCTACATACACTACCCTTATAAAACGAGTCCTATATGAACCTCAAACTATCGTAGGGGTCAGAACAATTAGCAGTATCCCCCTACACTCCATATTAAAATTACAGTATGTGGCACCGCAAAGCCCTAGTCAAATTCGTAAGGCCCCTTCATCACAAGCCCTACGCCCCAAATGCTCGAGCCAGGCTTTTATAGCAGCCCTGATAGAGCCCTGAAAACCCCAACCCTCCACCGCAAACCCAATTCCTGTAGCCCCCTGAAATGGGTGGTTGTCAAAATTAGGGTCCCTTTTTGGGTCCCTCTTATAATCCGGCACCTAACATTTAGGGTTCCCGAAAAAGGGACCCCAATTTTGACAACCACACAAATGAGGCCTGCATTTCCAGTGCCGACATATCCGGCGGATGTTGAGCATCAACAGTGGCGGCTTTGCGTTTCGTCTGCTTGAAGGGGACGAGGGTTCTGGGGGGGTGCTGTAGCGGCCTAAATAATTTGAATAGGGTTCCTTTGAAGGGGTCTACAAGGCATCTACAAGGGTACTATGATATAGGGGCCTTAATAATTAGAATAGGTTTTGGGGCTACATCGGACAGAAGTCTGAGGCGAGTACTTCGAAAGATGCGTGTTGCATCGCTGAATAAGCTAGCTGTCTTTGAGCCAGGCGTCTTAACTAATTACTGCAATGATTTGATCAATGCAGAATAGGGTTTTGGGGCCTCTTATACTACAACTATAACACGGAACGCTAGGAATAGTATTGGTAGTTATTTAGGCCCCTGTAGTAGCGGTTTGGGTATGTTGGGGGGTTCAGGGTTTACAGAGTCTTTAGGGTTATTGCGGCTTTTACGGTTGTCGGTCTTTATCAGACTTACTTCGACGTGAAGCTTGTGGGGACCGTATTGCGAAGAGCTGGGACCGTATTAGAGCTCCGTAAACCTTAAACAATACAATAAAAACAGTAGAAGTACGTAGAAACCCAAAAGACCACCTTATATAGCCCCATGAACACCCCTGAAAAAGAATCTAAAGAACCCGAAAACATCAAAAGCTTGCAGAAGTTTGGCAAGTCTCTCCACAAGCGTCTAAGCGCCACTTCTTCACCCTAGAACCCTGAAATCCAAAACCCTCACCCCGAAACCGCAAACCCCTGAAGCCCCACACCCCAGAACCAAAAGGTCCCAAACCCCTTGAACTCTAAAACCCCAAACCTTGCCCCAAAAACAAAACCCTAAAACCTCAAAACACGAAGCTTACCTTTGCTGAGTAGGGCATGGAAGAATGGTAGTGATAGTAGTTATACTTGTACCCCATTCCTCCATTCCCTACTAGCCAAAGGTAAGGAAACCAAAGCCCCAAAGCCTCTGCCCTAAACCCTAAACCCTAAACCCTAAACCCTAAACCCTAAACCCTAAACTCTCATCCCGTAAGCCCAAACCTCCCAAAACCCCCCCCCCCCAAAGCTCGAAACCCCAAGGCCCACAAAGAAGTCCCCCACTCTCCCCAAAAATCTCCCAAAACCCCTAAAGATTCAAGGCCCAGAACCTCTAGGACCCAGAGTCGGCATTCCCTTTTTTAGGGTTTAGGAGGGACCCTTAATGGGGACCCCTACACTATAATGGGCTATATAATGGGTATATAATAGCTATATTAAGGGTAGATGTTCTGATCTGGATCCAAGGGCATAAGGTTCCTTATCAGCCCCTTTAAACCAAAAAGGGCACACTTTTTAGTACTGGTTACTCTTGGGTCTGGTATTTCCCAAAATCCCCAACGGCCCCGGGGCCCAAAACCTTCAGAAATCCCAAACCCTAAAACCCTAGGCTCTAAGCCCAAAACCCTTGTGCCCTTGACATAGCTGCAGAGCGCCAAACGTGTCGAAGCCTGCCTACCTTGTGAGCTTCTTGTAGCATAGGCGCCTGTGCAAACGGAGAAAAGGCCCTTGAAAGAAATAACTAAAGCTAGCTGAACCTTAAACCCCAAGCCCAAACCTCTAAACCCTTTAACCTTGTGAACTCCCTAAGGAGTCCCACTGGTAGACGAAACCTCTGCAGCAAATGTGATCCCCAATCGCAATGCTGAAGAGATAAAAGAAGAAGAGCAGACTCTGTCTGCCAAAACTCTGAAGACGTGTCCCCACGCAGTCACAAAGGCGGACTCGCCCTTTTGCCAGCACTCAAGCGACCATGCGTCACCTAACGCCACTGCCCTCCCACCTCTGGTCCTTGGGCCAGAGAGCAATCGAGATGTACATGTCCAACGGCAGATCCTGCATCGGATTCACACTGACCCAATTTTATTGGGACAAGTGCATCCCGATTGCCTGTACAGTCAAGGGAGTCGTAACGAAAAAGGACTCGTTCCACGGAGGACAGGGGCAAGCAACTCTCAAAGTCAAGTCTGTGCTGCGGCGGGCTGTGATAACCAAGCAATGGCTTGCTTTCTCTGCGCATCCTTCTCCAGAGCTTGAGTTGTGTCGTAAAGTTTGAAGCGGCCTTGAGCCAACACCGTACGCAACAAGGTGGCGTCCATGGCCTTTGTCAGACAATCTGCAGCCTGGAGTGTTGTCGGAATCCAGCGAAAGCTGGCGTTCTCAGAACACCTTTGCTTGATTAACAGCACCTCAAGCGTAGTCCTGTGCTCTTCGCATGCGGGCATCGCCAAGCGAGTTACAAGATCGAATAGCGACTTGCAATCAGTCACGATGATTGCTTTCTTAAGTTTCTTATAACTTTCCTCAGGGCTCTGCCAGCGAAACTCAGGCACATGAACCACGCCCCACAGAGCACGTATCCAGCCTAACATGTCAACTGCCTTTGACATTGCATATGCCTCAGCACTTAGGGTGGACCTAACAACCCGAGGAATTTTCTTAGAGGTCCAGACTAAGGGAGACAAGGGGGCTTCCTGGTTCTTATCTAGCCTACTGTCAGTGGCACAGACAAGGGCTCCCTGATGCGAATTCAGGTTCTTGGAAGATGCGAAAGACGCATCGCCGAATGACACAAAGGTTATATCCTCAGGGCAGATAGGCAAGTAGTGAATACACTCATCGGCTTGCTCTTGGGTCTCGCGCAGAACCTTGTTGGCAAGTAGCAACGTCTGCACAGTTGCTGTTGTGACTTGCGTCTGCAATTCACCAAGCTTCGCCGCCATGTCGGGTCGGGTGTGTGTTACTGCGTACTGGAGGCTGCCAATGATACCTCTAAGACGGGATCTTTCATTTTCCGTGACAGGTGCAGCAGGTTGCATCCTACGGGCACGCCCTATGTCCAGTTGGGGGATGTTCTTAACGTACTCACCCTGAGAAGCTCGGATAGAGAAATCCGGAAATTGCTCAAGATGGATGCCAGTGAAAACGAAGTTGCGGTGTTTGCGGCTGCCAAAAGGAAGTTTAGTCTGCAAGGATTGTATCTTTTGGCTAAACACTGCATCGCCCCCGCAAACCCCATCATCCACATGGACTCCCAGAATCCCATTGAGCACCGAGCCGGTGTAAAGCAGAAACACACATGGCTCTAAAGGATGTCGCACAAAGCCCAACTCTAGTAGCTGTTTGCTAAGCTCTTTATAGAACAATAAGGGGGCGTCTACCCTTCCATACGCATTGCCCAACAATTGGCACAAATCATTGTCCTTTAACTTTAGGGCTTCCCGAAGTTCCTTGGGAGGATCCATGGCCAAAGGATTGTTTTCATCGGCCTTACCACGCAAGAAAGCTGTCTTTATGTCGAAAGAACTCAGCTCGAACCTTTTGGAGGCTATGGTTTGCAGGACCAAAGCACGACCCTCCTTTGACAACGTGGGAGCATCCCGAGAAACATCCACTAACTTTGGGTCTTGGTAGCCTAGGACCACTAGTCTCGCTTTGGCTTTACGCTGGGTGTCTCCGGGCTCAGGATTCTTCCAGGTTAGGATCCAACGGCTACGCAAAATTTGTTCGGGATTCAGGCGCTGGCGAAGAACTGATTTTATGGCCGAAGTCTGAATCCAACACTGAATTTCCTTTTGTTTAGCTTGATTGAAAAGCTGAAGCTCAGCAGCCGAGAGGTCCTTCACATGTACCTCAGCTCTCGCTCTCTTGCCCACAGTGGCAAGATAAGAAAGCTGTTCCGGAGCTCGCTCTCGAGCCCATCTCCGTAGGTCCTTGGCCTTCATGGGAATTTCCAAGCAGTAGGCTTGCTGCTCTGAACACTGCAAGGGCTGTTCAACATATGGCAGATTATCCTCGGCCAAAGGGGGACCACAGGCAGACGTGCCTGACAGGACAGTCGTGAAAGTATGGAGGTCTCCATCACACGCTTCAGTGGAGAGCAGCACAGACTCTTCAGGCAATTCCTCAGGTACTAGAGTACAGGCCATGGCCTCAGTCAGAAGACCTTCATCGGAGTCGGGTACTGGAACATCGCTCGGCAGAGGATCAGCGGAAGTAACAGAAGCATTTGGATTATCGTTCAGAACTACAGAAGGTGCTGCGTGGTTAGGCTGTCGCTCAACCTCGCGCTCGACTTCACGGTTGTCGGTTGGTGGATCAGGATTACCGGAGACCTGTGGAGTCAGCTCTTGTTCGGGCTGAGTCAGGTCATCATCAGGAATTGGGTTTGTCGCAGGATTAGATACGCTGGACACTGGGGTAGGCAAAGGAACCAAGAGGTCTCCGCTGGAGCTTGCAGGTGCAGGCGCATTGGTGACAGGAGCACTCGATTCATTTCCGGTCAAATCTACAAAGGAGCTTGCTCCTCCAGCATTCTTATGAGGATCGGAAAAATCTGCTGTGCTCAACTGCTGCCATTCGCGCAAACTGGCAGGTCGAAGGTTCTCTGGGGCACATCGCAGGATGATCGAACCGTGGGAAATCCACGTGATTGATTGGCCCTCCTGGGAAATAACACGGGCTGGTCCATGCCATCGGCCAGCAGCCAGGCGATTTGGAGACCCTTTACGCATCCAGTATAACACCCAGTCTCCAGGCTTATAGGGACCCCGAGCTGGATTACTTCGGCGGAGAAGTGCTCGACGGATGGTCTGACTATTATCAGCTTCCCAGAAAACCTGTCGGGCACGGCAGCGGACATCAAGTCGTTGCCGGTGGAGCTCGGCTTCCAGGTCGGATCCCTCTACAAGTGCATGAGATGTTAAGTCTTCATCTGAAGTGAGGCTACCGGGAACCCGCAAGGACTTACCTAACACTATCTGCTCCGGGGCATACCCTCTGTGGCGCATCAGGGCATTCTTTGCCTGGAAGGCAAGCAACAGTGCTTGATCGAACCGTGCATCGTTGGCAAGTGGGCTCTGGGCGTCTAACCTAGCCAACATGTCCTTAACTACATCCCCGTGTCTCTCAACCCGTCCCCTTTGCCAGGCGGCCGCTGAAAGAAATGTTTTTACATTGATTCCCTGAAAGTACTCTAGAATCTCTTCCGATCTAAATTCTCCAGCGGGATCAACATAAACCTTACGGGGATTTCCAGCCCATGATAGCCAAAACTCTGCCAACGTCTTGGTGGCATGCTTGGTTTCTCTAGAGACAGCCCTTCTTCCAAGGTGAAAACAGCTTGCTTCGTCAATGGCGTGAATGACGTATGCCCTATACCCCGATCTACCCTTAAAGAAGAAACCATCGATCCCAATCAAGTCATTGAACTCAAGTGGCTCGGGCAACTTACCGGGTCTCTGGTGTCGAGGTTCAGTAGACTCTAAGCAAGCATCACATTCGAAATCTAGCGCGGCATCGACAAGGGCTTGGGCTTCTCCGGCGGCTTTCAGGTGTTTGGCTAGGGTCGTTGGGGCAGGGTGTCCCAAGTTGTTATGGATCCGAACGAACTGCGCTTTCTGATCAGCATCTAGATTCCTAAATGCCGGACCATGCAGAGGCACCGGAGGTGGAGCCCATCCCTCAAGGTCAGGCGGGGAGGCTGAAACGGCAGGTACTCTCGAGCCAGGGCTCCCAGCAGGAGGCTCCTGCTCAGCGGTCTCAGCTTTGCGTCTACCGAACACAGTTATCAAGATTTCGTGAACCCCAATCCTAAGCTTCTTGCGGTCTGACCCCATAGTAGTGCGATCCTCGTTGCCTAGGCAGAGAAGTTGCTTACTAGCTTCTCGGGAGCCGAGACTCACGCGTAAGGGAGCTACGGTAGCCGGGAGGGCCCCCAAGGGAAGCTGCAGGTTCCGAAGATTGCGCCCCGAGAAAACCTGAAGCACGTCTATCCCTCTAGGCTCTAGAGCTCGTTGGACTTCCTTAGCTAGCTCGCTCTGAGGAGGCACCAGAGTAGAGGCTTGCCCAGAGCTCCGTTGAGCAAGCTCAAAGACAGGCTCCCACACATCCCAGGGCAACTCAGACATGGCTTGCAATGGCTCAGTGAGCCGACGGATTGGATGACTGCGCTGGCTGCCAGCAGCCGGTTCAGCGGCTTCTCGCTTCTGGGTCACAGGTCTTTCTATCCTAAGGGGATCCCCAACCGAGGTCTTAAATCGCTTACGGGTCAGGGGAGGCTCGGCATTGGCAGCCATTGCAGCATCTATGTTGCTGGACACAAGGTGTCCTGCAACATGGCTCGCGAATCCTTCGCAAAACGATCCGGCAAATTGCGACATGGGGAGACCCTTCAGGAGTCTTCCAGCCAAGGTATGGTGACGATGCTGTTGGTTGCATTGCTGTGACACGAAACTCTTTGTCAGGTCTTGGGAGGTGCTACATATCAATGTTCGTTTACGAATGGGCTTACCGGCTGGGGTCTGTAGACCGAAGGCGCACATATCTACCGAGGCCACATACGTTTTGCTCTTAAGGTCAGGGAAGGCTTTTATGGATGAGGTTGGGAACAGGCCGGGTAACTCAAGATGGAAGTCCCGACGGTGTTGCTTTTGCCAATGGCAGAGCTGCGCACATACCTGATAGAGAGCCTGGTCTTTCTCACGCTGCTGGACATGTTGGTCATGCTTTTCCGAGCTCTTAGCAGCATTAAGAGAGGACCAGGCACTCCAGCACCGAGCGTCTGGGGTCACCCAGATGTGTCGCGGCTGAGTCTGTTGCACCACGGCCCACAATTGTTGCTGGCCTTCTTTTGTCCGCAGATCGCCATCCTCGCTAGTAAACCGCCTAGCTTTACCACCTAGCTCCCTTACCCTAACCGAAAGACGACTATCGGCACGCTCGGTGATTTCCAACAGATCAAGCTGGGATTCAGGAGGCAGGCTTAGCAGCTTCTGGGACTGATGGTGCAAATCTTCAGCTCTGCGAACCGCTTCTTGGCAAGCGCAAGCGGCAGCTTCGGCTGCCTGAACCAGAGGTGATTCTGAACTTGGCACATTGATTTTCTCAGCCACTTGGCTCTCTTGGGTGGTACTGGAAGGAAAGATTGCTGCGCCTCTCGGAAATTTGCGAAGCAACGAGAATCCATGTCGTTTGAGCCAGCGGACCTGGGGAGACTTCAGCTTGTGCCGGGGCTTCAGAGAGAAACCAATGGCCACAATTCGATCACCGGTCCAGGGCTGAGTGGCATGCCAGACATGCGGATTAAGGTAGATCACCCCTTTAGTGAGAGGTATCGCCTCTCCACATACCATTTGTCCGTTACTAGCTTGCTCCCCATTTACCCCCTGAGCTGTCCATACTTCCCCCCCAACTGGAGGCACCTGGATTGGCACGATCATGTTGGAAGCTCCTATCTCATTAAAACTGTCTCTATGGGGACTGGTTTGGACGTTACAGGACACACCAACAGTGGTACATGGATGATCGGGATTAGTCAGCCTCAGCATTCGGGTGAGAATCCGGGTTAACCAAGGATACTTCAAGGATACCTTGGTCACACCGACTATCCCTCCGTGCATATACATGCCAAACATCAGGTATGCAGGGTCTCTTGACGAGTCCCGGGGCCGCACATGGTCATTGCTCGTTCGGCTCGAAGTTTGTTGTTGAAGACTAGCCCACGGAATCTTCTGAAGAAAGTGCTTAATTCGCAAGGCACTAGCCTCTTCATGAACTAGGGACCTTGCCTGATTCTCTATTTCCCCGAGAGCTATCGTGAACCTAGGCTTGGAATCCGCGTCTTGCATGTCACACACGTGTAACTCCATCATGGAGGGACCTGTGGAGGCGTGATCTGCTGGAGAGCTACCAGCACCTGCTCCATCACATGCTCGAGGTGAGTGAGGCGGGTGGCCATCGCCGTCACCTGGTTGTCGAGAGCTGGTTCGCTGTTGTCCTCGACGAGAGCCCAGTGGTCTGAGCTCGCCACCGCCGTCGACGCGGTCGGGCGAGGAGCGCTCTTGGATTTTGGGCGCGTCGCCATTGTCGATCTCGGGGGCTCGGCCGCCGCTGGGTCGCCAACGAGGCCTTCCGCGATCTCCTCCGCCTGAGCAGTGTACTTCTCTATGAAGAGGAACAGGATGCGGTGGCACCTCTTTTCGCTGGTTGACATGTGGGTGATGAACCATGTCACCCAATCTTTCTCCTTTTCGATCACCTCCATGTACTTGCGCCCGCGCATGGCCTTGCCAAAATCGATCACGAACTCGCCGAGCTGCTCGACTGTCATGGCAGACAGCTGTTCCATGCTGTATGCCAGCGTGGGGTCGGATAGCCGAGCGAACCTCGAGGCTAGGCTGTCGGGAGCTTGCGACATGACCGTCACTCGGAAGGTGGTCGGATCGGAGTGAGGCGTTGGATGCAAAAAAGACTTTGAGAGTCGCCGTGGCTGCTGTTTTGGCACACGGCATGGTAGCAGAGTCGTTTGGGCTCACAGGATTACCCTTCGGCATCTGCGGTGTAACATTAACTAACCCCGATTCTTCACGGGATCCTAAAACAACTGAATTCTCGATCTCGGGGGGAGCGGTCTTAGTACTCTGGGCTATACAGGGTGGAGTTGGGACACACTCTTCCACAGCTGTCGATGCATGCATAGGCGGGCTGGCGCACAACTGCTGAGCGGCTGACTCTTCATTTGCAACCTGGCATTGTTGTTCCTGATCGGCACAGAGCTGTGCCAGGTCAATCAGATACAGACCTGTTGGTCCGGTGCTCAGCGAAAGGCGTCTCTTCAGGCGTTCCAGATAGCAAGAATCACGGGTGGTATCTATGATACCTCCCAGCTGCTTAATGGCTCGCTTGCTGAACAGTAGTGGCGTGCTAGCTGGAACAACTTCTATCCCTAGCCACAAAATCTGAGTGGATTGCCCTGTGCGGAACGGCAGGAGTAGCCGCTGCTCGCTAACCAATGTCTGGTTATTACCGAACCTGAAGCGAACCGAGCTGCGGGTCACTCGCACCTGTTGTCGGGTGGCATCACTCAGCTGGCGAAGGAAGGCAGGCACCAAATGCTTTCCCATAACACAACAGCTAGCCCCGGTATCCAAAATGGCTTGTACGGGCTCATTAGCTAGTAACACATGCTTCTCAGATTGATTGCTTTGGGAAATGATTGGCGCAACCTTCCATCTCAGAGGCTTAAGCGTTTTTGCAGGGATCCCGGGCTCAGTCCATAAGTCCTCCCCAACGCTCGGAAGCCTGACATGTGGCGGTTTTCGAAAGTATTTACGGTCTTTCAGGTTCTGGACTAACCTACTGAGGTTGCGAAGGGCACCAGGTTTTGGGCTTTGGTCGATCGCGAAATGGGCCTCATGCAAGGTGTAGGCGTCCTCAGGCACTTCGGTGAGCAGAGCTTGATGTCCCGATGTCGAAGAGGAAGTGGGATCATAGGTCTCCTGAACCACCTCGGCAACTGTGGTGATCGCTTCACCCTTGCCGACGCTCATGGATCCTGGGCGTCCGTACTTGGGACACTCTGCTTTCCAATGGCCCTTTTCGCCGCAAGCGCGGCACACGCTGCGCGCTATGCGCGCCAAGAGCTGGTCTCGGCCGCTTTTGCCGCGGCCCTTGCCCTTGTTGAACCCACGACCAGTCTTACCGCCTTTACCGGAGCTGCCCACTGGCCAGAAGCCTCTGGACTTTTTCTTGGCCAACAAGCGCGACCTCGCCTCCAAGTAGCTCACCAAGGCCTCTTGCAGGTCTGCTGTTTCCTGGAAATATCCTTCTAATTCCTCCTCAAAAGTCTGAACCTGCAGCGCGTCCTGGTCTTCGATGGCCAGCATGGCTTCTAAGAACTCCGGCTCCAACTCATTGTCGACATCATCGCCTCCGGCAGGTCCTGGGACCAAGGCGGCCTGATAGGCCCTCTCCGATTCTTCTGGAACACACTCCTCCAAGGTGTTAGCATCATACACCTTGGTCCGTTGATTGGCTCTCTGTCCTTGAAATTCCCCGAAGAACCGCGATCCCAGTAGCCGTATTGAAGACTTCACCTTGTCGTAGGTCAGCTTTCCACTGTGCTCAACAACAATGCGCTTCTTGTCATCGCTGCTCAACTGTGATTGGCGAAGCAGGACATACGACCGGAGCTCCTCGAACGTGATGTTCTGAGCCAAAAGCTCCTCAAAGTGGATGTCATGACGAGCCAAGTAGGAGTCATGGGTCTCGTCACTGCGTTGTACAGTCCCAAAGATAGCTTTCTCGAACTGCTCATACTTCTCCTCCAAGACTGTTTGACCCCAGGCCCCGCCCAAGGTCTTCACAATCAACTCAACACCCGAGGTATCGGAAACCTTCAGTTTGGTTGCATCGAGGCGGGCAACCTTCTTGAAAGCCGAGCCCTCGCAGAGCAGGGCAACACGAGGAGCCAAAGAGCTCAAGTGCTCCTTAGGCCAAACTTCAGCTAAGAATTTCAGCTTCTTGCCATACTCCGTCGTGTCAGTAACTCCAGGGGTGTAGCGAGGAATAGCCGCCCACGGTAGGGCGCTTCGATCATCGCTGCTTCCCGTCGCCTGCTCTGGCGTAGCCGCAGCGGATGCAGATGCTGGTGGCATTGTCCCTGGTTCCCGACTTTTCCGCAAAGACGGCCCACCGTCTCAGTAGCGAAGTCCCAAGGGCTCCGCTACCAGTGTGAACTCCCTAAGGAGTCCCACTGGTAGACGAAACCTCTGCAGCAAATGTGATCCCCAATCGCAATGCTGAAGAGATAAAAGAAGAAGAGCAGACTCTGTCTGCCAAAACTCTGAAGACGTGTCCCCACGCAGTCACAAAGGCGGCCTCGCCCTTTTGCCAGCACTCAAGCGACCATGCGTCACCTAACGCCACTGCCCTCCCACCTCTGGTCCTTGGGCCAGAGAGCAATCGAGATGTACATGTCCAACGGCAGATCCTGCATCGGATTCACAAACCTAAACCCTTAAACCCCTAGACCCCAGGCCCATAACCCCCAAAACCCTAAACTCCTCGCCTTACCAAAAGGGTATATGTACATTCAATCGCATATACTTTGGCCTAGAAAAAAGTAGTCCCTATGCAGGTACGTTGGGGCCTAACTATTTACAATTTAGGCACATGGGCGGGCCCTTATAGAGACTGATGCACTCCCCAAAATACTAGAAACCAGGGCCTCCCTTATACTATAGAACCCTTACGGCCACCCTTGAAAGGAACCTTGAACCCCAAACCCCCAAACCCCAAAACCCTATTCTAATTATTAAGGCCCCTCTATCATAGTACCCTTATGGATCCGTTATAGAACCCTTAAGACCGCTTTAAAGGAGCCCTAAAACCCTACCCATCAAACCTTAACCCTTAAAGGAACCCTAATACCTATACTATTTGGGCACATCGGCGCTCAGGATTAAAGAAACGTTCCCGTCCAAGGAACCCGAAAAACCCAAACCCTGAACCCTACAGGAACCCTAAACCCCAAAGGAACCCTAAACCCTAAAGGAACCCTAAAACCTTGCAGGAACCCTAAACCCCAAAGGAACCCTAAACCCCAAAGGAACCCTAAACCCCAAAGGAACCCTAAACCCCAAACTCTCCGTAAAGAAACCCCAGGCCGGTCGACTCCACTGGGCAGTGCTCTCCCCCTCGGGCGACCGGGATCTGCAGCGAAGTTTTCTGGGTTGTCCTTTGGGATCTTTGTTGAGTTCCCCTACTATTCTGTAGAGAACCATAATAGTAAATCATTTTCGAAGGGCTTAAAGGACAACTCAGTTTAGGATGCCCAGTAGTACCCTTATTCGCTGTTTGTAGTCCTAGGTTCCCTAATAAGGTTACCCAATACCAAAAAGGTGGCCTTTTTTCTTCCTAGGTTCCTGAGCATCCTAGTTTTGAAGCGGGGTTTAAAGTTGGGGGTTTTGGGTTTTGGAATCAGGGTTTTGGGGTTTTGGGTTTAGGGGTTTAGGGTTTCAACTGCCGACAGTGGGTCATGGCCGACTTAGCCTTTGGCTTCGTGTCGGGGCGAACTGCGCGGCGGATGGAGGCCGGTACCCTCCTGGGTTGTCCGTTGGGATCTTTCTTAATTTCCCCTACTATTTTGTTGTAGAGAACCATAATAGCAAATAATTTTCAAAGGGCTTAGAGGACAACCCAGCCTCCTGCGAGAGGAACCAAGCGAAGAGAAAGCCAAGGGCAGGCCAAAAGAGATGTGCATATGGCCAATGTGAGTGTCGATCGCCCAAAAGGCATACACAACGGCTTACACATATGTGTCCCGAGGCTGGTAGTCCTCGCACCGTGCTGGTGTCTGGAGAAACAATGCACATGCCAGCAATTGCAGTTCTTAAGGGGTAATTCCATTTGGGGTACTTACAACTCTACTTACAACCTGCTTGCTAAGTCCCTGGGCCTCGAAGTAGGGTTTAGGGCTTCGGGTTTGGGGTTTTGGGTTCGGGCTTTGGGGGTTGGTGTTTGGAAATCAGGGTTTTGGGCTTGTTTAGGGCTTTGGGTTCAGGGTTTAGGGTGTGCTGCTACCTAAGGTTATAGTTGGGGTTATAAGGGTTATCAGGATTGTAATTTTCCTCTAAGGGTTGATTCTATGGGTTCTTTTTTACAGGTTTTATAGGGCTTAAGGTCTTTCTTTGGCGATTGCTATAGAGTTTGGTGGCCGAGGGCGTTTTACGTTTAAAGGGTTCCTTCAAGGGGTTACTAGAACGAACGATTTCGGGGGTTTGGGGTTTGGCGCTTGAAGAATGTTGGGTCTTTTGCATTTATGTGGTTCTATACTTGGAGGACCATGGGACTTAGTAAGTAAGGTTATAAGTACCTTAATTGGGCTATAAGTAGTTATAAGTATAGTTACCTTATCTATAACTCCAGTTACTAAGTCCCATGATCCTTTAAGTAGGTTGTGACACCCTCAACCTTAGAGCCAAACCTAAGCCCGCTAAGCTGTCTTACTAAATAGGAGTTTCCGAAAATTTCGGGTACCTTATTTTGGGGTCCTGATAATAAGACTCCTACTATTTAGGGTACTAAATAAGGGCCCCCTGTCTTCGGAAACTCCCAAATAGATGCATAGACTTTTCCTTGCTCAGTTGTAAATAGAGCCCCGTTGGAAACTCAATCAGTACCTATGTATTTCTTTGGGGGGGTCCTTAATTTATACAATTATAGTATGCTGGGCCCCAAAACCCTATTCTAAGTATGAAGCCCCCTATATTAAGCCCATAAACCCCTTGTAAACGTCAAAAACCATTTGTACTGTTGTGCCGAGGAGATTGGCAAGCTCCGGCCTTTCAACCGGATGGCTCGCAGGCGCAATTTCCGAGAGTTTCCTTAAAGTTTTAGGTTTAGGGTTTAGGGCTCGTCGATTGGAGTGTAGAGTTTCAAGTCAGGTTTTCGGATTCAGCGTGGACTTTCCTTTGGAAGCTCGAAAATGTGTTTCGCATGGGGTTGGAAAGGCTTTAGGGCTTCGGCTGCTTGCAGACGAGACCCAAACACCCAAATCCAAACCCTCTGTGCCTAGTGCTCGAAAACCCTGAAACCAAAACCCCAAAACCGTAAAACCCTAAACCCTAAAACCCCCTGTGAACCCCAAGCGGAAGGAGTGCGATGGAACGGCTTCCAGTGCCCACATGAGCCGTGGCCGGAGAAGGTTGTGGGAGCGAGCGGTTACGCAGTCTATTCCTCCCGTTTTTGTGGCGTACTATAGGGGCTTAAATAATTACCAATACTACTTTGGTGATGGCTTAGTAAGTACAGTCTAACGGGCCCCAACCCTATACTAAACCCCCATAATACCCTTATAGTAATCCTTATAGACCCCTTTAAAAGGAACCCTTTAAGGGAACTCTCTTCTAATTCTTGAGGCCCCTGCAGTATGCCGTTACCTCAGCCGGAGCGCTCGCAGCGAAGCTGGGCGGGTTCGACAGGTGTCTGACGCGCAATCCTCTGCACCTTCTTCCCTTGCGGTTCCGGGTGCTGCGGAGAAGCTGAAGTACGAGGATCTCGAGTGGCAGATGAACCAGTTGAAGGAGAAGCTTGCTGCTGCTCCCGGACCAGGAGGCGGATTTAGGGCGGATCTGGACTGGAGCTCGTGGCTCCAACCCTTTCAGCAGCCTAGACCCTAAGATGGTAGTCTGAATGGTCGCAAGCAACAAGCGACTTTTGTCCTTCTACTTGAAAAAAGAATATATATATATATATATATATATACACAACATACATACATACATATATACATACGTACATGTGTGTATATATATATATAAAGATACATACATTCATATATGTAGCAGAACACGCCCCAAGCTTGAGCCACAAAGCCTTAAAGCAGCCCTAAACCTCAAACCTTAAACCCTACACTTCCGAATCTCTGCAGCATTCAGATTCCTGGGCCGGCTTTGGGGGGGTTTCTAAGGGTTTGCTAGCATCTTTGTAGTGAAGGGTTTAGATGGAGCTTTGAAGTTAGGGGGCCTTTGGTTTTCAGGGGTCCTGATGATTTGGGTTATACTTCTCGTTTTAGAAACTCCCGCTTCAGGCCCTTGACCCTAAAGCCACCCCAGCAGCACCGCTGGCTTTGAAGCGATTTAAACTTTGAGCCCGAACTGTAAATCCAAACTGAAACCTGAAACCTGCAAACCGTGTAGCCGAGGAATGGGGATGGCAATGTGACGATGACCTTCCGCGGTGGCGATCTGCCGGAAAGGATCACCTTCGTCATCGTCATCCAGGCCTCCCACTTTGGGGTCTGGGATTTGCAGTTCAAACTCTCCGTCAGTGGTACTTCAGTTGTAGAGCTTCAGTGCTCGGCTTTAGGGCAAGCTACACAGCGAGAGGCCTCAAATGAACAGCAACAGCTCACAACTTGGTCCTCTACCCCGACTAGCAAGAAATCCGAGTCCTTAATGTTCCTCAATTTCGTAGGCTAGTACTGTATGGGGTAGGGTGTGGAAATTCAGGCTGAATCCTACACCCAAACCCCTGCTCCCCCAAAGTTCGGTGATATAAGGCCAACCAAAAGGCCGAAATGTCGAGCCCCAAATCCGGAAGCCAAGAAGACCCCGAAATCTCCGAAAGAACTCCGTGCAGCTCTTTCCCACTTAGTAAGTCTAGTGAGTATCCCGCGCAACCCCCGGCATAAAGGTTTGGGGTTCAGGTTAGTTTTTTGAACTTAGGGTTTTGGGGGTGAGGGCTATCCCCGTAACCGAATCCTAAATCAAGAGAGCACGCAAGCCCTAAACCCTAAACCCTAAACCCTGAACTTCTTTGGCCAGGCCAATGGCCAAACGCACTGGTTGAAGGCACCACAGCTTTGGAACGCGGGTGTCTTGGGGATGTATGGGAACAGAGTGCGGCGTCCGGGCTTGGAGAGTTTTGGGAGTGATGTCGCGCAGTGTAGGACTTCAGGGCTTGAGGGTGTGCGATCAGGTCCTGGAGATCATATATAGGTTTGGGCTCAAACGTGCATAATGGCTTGATGTGTTAGCTCGGGCTTGTGTTCTGAAGTTCTGGCTTGGATCGATAGAACGGAGAGACTGCATGGGTGTTGGTGCTGCAGTTTAAAGCCTCAACCCGAAACCCCCAAACCCCTAAAACACTAAAC